ATGAGAAACTCTGAAAAATACTATTACAAATGCCAGGTCCAGTTCAATACCACTAAAAAAGAAAACAAGGAAACCAAGAAAAAAACAGCATGATTGCACAAAGAACTCTCAGACCAACTGAGAGAAAAAAAGGACAAGTACAAAAAATGGAAAGAGAGACACATAAGTAAGGCAGAATAGCAACAAATAGCTTGAACCTGCAAATATGAAGTTAGGAAAGCTAAGGCTTTGAACGAATTAAGACTTGCAACAGAGGCCAAAAACAATAATAAAAAAGTTTCTTTCAACACATAAAAAACAAGAAAAAAGTCAAAGAAACAATCGGTCCACTAATTGGAGAAGATGGCAAAGAAATAACAGGCAATAGAGAGAGAGCAGAACTGCTTAATTCATACTTTGCATCTGTCTTCAGACACACAAAAAAACACTACTCAACTTATCAAAAACAGAACAATAAATGACAGATTAGGAATGCAAATTAAAATATACAAAAATAAGGTAAGAGAACATCTGTGAGCTCTAGATGGATTCAAATCATCAGGTTCGGATGGACTAGAATAGAATAGAATAAAATAGAGCTGGAAGAGACCTTGGAGGTCTTTTAGTCCAGCCCCCTGCTCAAGCAGGAGAACCTATACCATCTCAGACAAGTGACTATCTAGTCTCTTCTTAAAAATCTCCAGTGATGGAGTGCCCACAATTTCTGGAGGCAAGCTGTTCCACTGGTTAATTGTCCTCACTGTCAGGAAGTTTCTCCTTAATTGCAGGTTGCTTCTCTCTTTGATCAGTTTCCAACCATTGTTTCTTGTCCTGCCCTCTGATGCTTTGGTGAATAACGTGACCCCCTCTTCTTGGTGGCAGCCCCTCAGATACTGGAATACTGCTATCATGTTTCTCCTATTTCTTCTTTTCTTTAGACTAGCCAACCCAAGTCCTGCAGCTGTTCTTCATATGTTTTAGTCTCCAGGCCTTTGATCATCTTAGTTGCTCTTCTCTGAATTTTTCCAAAGTCTCAACATCTTTTTTGTGATATGGTGACCAAAATTGGCTGCAGTATTCCAGGTGTGGTCTTAATAGGGTTTTATAAAGCGGCACTAATACTTCGTGTGATCTTGATTCTATACCTCTGTTTATACAACCCAGGATTGTATTAGCTTTTTGGTTGCTGCTGCACACTCCTGGCTCATAGCCAAGTGATCGTCCACTAGGACTCCAAGGTCTCTCTCATAGTTACTGTTTTTGAGCTAGGTCTCGCCCAACCTTTGATTTTTCCTGCCTAAATGTAAAACTTTGCTTTTCTCCACACTGAAACTCATTTTGTTGGATAGGGCCCATCGTTCAAGTTTGTCAAGATCTTTTTGGATCCTGAGTTTGTCTTCTGGGGTGTTGGCTGTCAGTTTGGTGTCATCTGCAAATTTGATGAGTTCCCCTTCAATTCCCTCATCTAAGTCATTTATGAAGATATTGAAGAGTACTGGGCCTAAGATGGAAACTTGTGCTACCCCAATGCTTACGTCTCTCCATGTGGATGTGGTGCCATTGAGGATTACTCATTGAGTACGATTTGCCAGCTAACTACAGATCCATCTGATGGTGATGTTGTCTATTGACTATATCCCAGAGTTCTGGAAGAACTGGCAGACGTGATTTCAGAACCATTGAAACATATCTTTCAAAGTTCTTTGATCACCGGGGAGCTACCTGAGGACTGGAAAAGAGCTGATGTGGTCCCCATCCTCAAAAAAGGGGGAAAAAACAGATCCAGGAAATTACAGACCAATCAACTGGTTATCAATACCTGGGAAGATCTTGAAAAAGATAATCAAGCAACAAATCAGTGAACACCTAGAAACAAACAAGGGTATAACCAGAAACCAACATGGGTTCATCAAAAACAGATCACACCAAACAAATCTTATTTCATTCTTCGATTATGGTGAAAGAGTCTGTGTTATGAGGCAGAGAAACAACTGTTTGTAGACTAGAATAACAGTTCTAAGTATGAGAGTAAAAAAGCATATATATTGGGCAAGACTTTCTTTGTAAATTTTAAGTTCATACAGAACTTTGTTGCAAAGAAGTCTCTATTTAAGCAAATACTACCTTGCATACAGCATGAACATTAAGGATTTCTTTTTCAAGCATATCTCTAGTCTGACAAGACACATTACTCTTTCAGGAGTATATGTTACTTGGGTGAATGGTAGTAGAAAAAGAAAAATAAATTTTCTTATCTGTCCATACAGCCTCCTGTACCATCCAGATTTCACAGAGTTTATTGAATCATTTATCAGTAATCTCTAAAAAATAGCAATTCATTTTAGAATGGGACATAAGAGGTTATCATCTGACTAAAAGTACAACATGATGCCCTATTTGCATTTCAGTTATAAGAAGCAAGTGGTCAAACCAACTCTGACTGTAACAGAATAAATTGAAGAAATTGGTCCTTAGAATCAATAAAAAAATAATATAGATAGGTTTCAAACTTGAAAAGAAAAAGAGAGAAAGCAGGAATAAGTTACTATTAAGCACTTAAAAGTTAACAGTTATTCAGAGAATTAAGCACGTACAAGTTGATCTGATTATAATAACTTGAAATAGATAAATTTGATCAGATCTTGCATGTATGACAGAACACTAGGAATAACTGCAAAAATGATAATGTTTGGGTACTGTTTACATATTACTTATTTTATTCAGTAAGATAGGCTCTGAACTGGTTGAACATTGTAGACATATGAACAGTTTACTTGTAACAATGTCTCTCTGAGAAGTCATCTGTATGTTTAAAAATAGGTATTGTTTCTGTGCAGAATATCTTTTGGAATGTCCTACAGCTGAGATACTTGGATGAAAGCCTCAACCACATCCTATTACATCTATCCAAAAGCAATCAGATCAGAGACTATTTAAATAAATAGAAAAGCAATTTACATAAAGATGGGTCAATCTCTACAATGTGATTCAAAAATCAATTGTATAACTTATTTTTGTGATGATCACTATTCATCCATTGAATGGGTGACGAATAAAGCTTTTACTGACCATTTCCAATTAAAAAATCTATTCAAAACAGCACTCTGTTAAATGATAGCCTTCATAGCCAATATATAAATGTTGCAGGAAGTTAACAATTCCAATGATTTTTCCATTAATTGAGAAGAACTGACAAATTGCAGGGTTTTTTTTGGCAAGATTTCAGAACAGGTTTGCCATTGCCTTCTTCCTAGGGCTGAAAGAAAATGTCTCAAGTCACCCCAACTAGCTTTGTGCCAAAGACAGGACTAGAACTCACAATCTTCTGATTTCTAGCTTGATGCCTTAACCAATAGAATAAACTATGTCTCTAAGACAGCTGTATCACTTGTTATTTTTTATGTTTAGAACAAACATAAGCTTTAAAAAACATACTACTGTGCATATAGCTAAGGATTTTAATTCTTTTTTTCTTCTCTTTTGGGTTAAATTCTATCTAGCTTTTGGAACAGGGTTACGTAAAATAACGAAGAGCAAAATTAGTTCTCTGGAAGCAAACATTTTAAGTCAGCCTGGTGCCTTGGCTCTGTGACTCTAGGGCAATACATAGTATGAGGCACAGAACCCCACATTCTATAAAAACCAGCCTCTCAGAGGAATCCTAGAGCAAGGCTTTTCAACCTTTTTACCGATTGTACCACTTTTAGGATATGGCAATATTCGAGTACCACTTAGCAAGGTGTCAAAAACTTGATGACCAAAAAAAAAACCTGTTCCAAGTTGCAATTGCACTGAAATGACTTATGACCATTTTTCACACTTATGACCATTGCAACATGCCCAGGGTCATGTGATTTATATTTGGTTGCTTGGCAACTGATTCATAATGGTCACAGTGTTCCAGGGTCATGTGATCTCCTTCTGCAACCTTTTGACAAACAAAGTCAACGGCAGAGCTGCTGGTGGCCAAGTGCTAAGGCGGGACTTCCTTTCCTCCCTCCCTTCCATGCCTCCCTTTTTCTCATTCCCATCTCCTTCTGAAGGAAGAATTTGAACCCCCCCCCTATTTTCCCTCTTCCATATATTGATCAAACAAGGCCTCCAGAGACAAAAAAGACAAGCTTCTGAGTGAACTAGCTTAAAAAGTCACATTCCCCTTTAAGAATTAGCTACTGGCTAGAAAGGAAAGTAAGGAGCGCAGCGGGCACTTACGGAAGAAAAAAAAATGTAAGTATTGGCTCCCGGCTAAGGCAACCTCCCCAAATGGCTCCATTCATAAGTAAAGGAATGCTACAGGCAAAATCCATTCAGGAGAAAAATACTTCAAAATCCCTTGCAGCAAAACTTACAGCTAACAACAGCAGAGCAATAGAAGCTAACATGAGACATCAGCCATCAGCCAAATAGAAATTGCCAAACACTCCTTAAGAACACAAAGCCCTCATTGAACAAATCCCAGAACTTCAAAGTCACAAAAGCACATAAGAATCCTTCCACTCTCCATCTCCTTCCCTCCTCCGTGCCTCACCTCCAGCCATTGCTGCGGTTTTTCATTCCTCTTGGAGGGTGACCCCTCCCCCGCTGCATTTCTTGCCTGTTTGCTGCTGCCAGCACAGGTGGCTGCCACAGCAATTGTAGATTGGCTCATGGCCAGCCTGCTTGATCTCCTCTCCCCCCACCCTCCCCCTCCTCCTTTGGTGCAGCTGACTCTGCCTCCTCCCAAGGCTGCTGCTTTTTTTTTCTCTCTCCCTCTCCTGCCCAAACTGCCTCCTTTTATAGGCTCTCCTGTCTCCGTCCCCCTTCTCCTTTCTCATGGGGGAGGGTGAGCCAGAAGTGAGCCTGGGGCTTTTGAAGCTCCAGAGGACTTTCTCACTGTAAGTCCTTGCCTGTGCTGGCTCTTTCCCTCCCCCACTACACGTGGCTAGGCAGGGCTGCATACCACCTGCCACTCATTAATGTACCACAAGTGGTACACTTACCACTGGTTGAAAAGCCCTGACCTATGTCAAGAAAGATCTTACCAGAAGGATCAAAAGCCACCTGATTGCCAGGGTGAGGACCAGCGTCAATGGAGACCATTGGGACTCCCTTCCGAACATCCCATAGTTTCAATACACCATAAGAATCACAGGAAACAATTGTATCACCCTGGAAAACATAGGGAGGAGAGGGGAGAAGAGAAAAACATGATTATAATATAAAGGAGGGCATATTAAAATTTTAAATGCCTCTAAGAGAAAATATAGGAATCATTTCCCTAAACTTTTGATTCTGAATGTCACTATACGGCTGTATAAATCTTTTGAAAGAAGTACTTGCAACACATAGGAAAATGTTCAAAGTACCTGTCTATTAATCAGTAAATCTGCATTTTCTGCCAGGCTTACATAGTTGCTTCATAAATTGTTTCTGGCTGTCTCTGCATATAGGTCCATACGCAACCATTTTGTTCTGCTTCTCACCTAAAAAGAGATAGCACTCACATCCTGCTCCCTGCGTGTGAGCGAGTCCATCTCCTGGTTATGTTGACTGTTTGTGGTCTGCTGCATGGCTCTCATCTTTTTATATGCATTTATCATTTTAATGTTGTATTAAATATTAATACTGTAACATTGTCCAGAGTTATGTATTTGAAATGGGGAGCATTTGTTTATATGTCCAATAAACAAACAGATTGTTAGAAGAATATGTACAAGCAAGACAATAGTTAGAAATCTCATAAAATTTGTCTTTCTGTCTTTGCTTTACAACTCACTTTTAGTTTACTATAAATTTGGAAGAATTTATTTCTTTTTTTTTGTCCCGATTTTCCATTCTCCTCCATTTTCAAAATATTTTAACAGTTTGTAACTTAACTCACTTCAGTCAAAGATATCTCTTTTGAGACAAACTTTACTTCTGTTTATTACATGGACGTATACAACAAAGTAGATGAACTTTATCTCCTCCTCTGTTTTCTTGAATTCCTAGGATATCCAACTGTTCTAGGATTTCCTGATAGTATTAAGCATGCACAACCTAACTTTGATTTTTTAAATGAAACCAATGTTAATCATGGAGAGTACTTTATTAAAACATTTTCCCACATTTTCAACCCTATAGTTACATATTCATGTTAATTTGTACTATGGGTTGGAATAACAAAACTCAGAAAATGCAGAAGTGAGCTGTCTCTGGGTTCAACTTGAGAGTTATTTTACTCCTCTGTAACACTGGCAAGAATTGCAACCCCTGCTTCTTTGAGATCAGTTTTGTACTCTTTGCCATGTAACATTCATGTAGAACAGGGCTTTTCAACCTTTTCACCCATTGTACCACTTTTAGGATATGGCAATATCCGAGTACCATCAGTCGCCTAGCAAGGTGTTAAAAACTTGATGACCCCCCCCCCAAAAAAGGGAAAAAGTGATAAAGTACAGGTAGTCCTCGACTTACAACAGTTCGCTTAGTGACTGTTCAAAGTTACAATGGCACTGAAAAAAGTGCCTCCCAAGCCACAGCAAAGCACGTCACCTGCCTGCCCACCCAGTGGCGCTCTTCCTCCTGTCCAAGGTTTTCATTGTTGTGAGCATTTCTATTGAGGATTGGCAGCTGGTGTGTGTGTGTGTGTGTGGGTGTTTGGTTTTTATTCCTCCATCTGCTGGGTGGTTGCAGCAGGTTTTGGTCACTTCACATGACCCTGGGACACTGTGATCGTCATAAATATAAATCAGTTGCCAAGCATCTGAATGTAAATCACAAGACCCTGGAGATGCTGCAACATTCCAGCTGATTGGCGCTTCTTCTGGGCTCAGCAGAAGCGCCAGGATCAGCGCCGAGTTCCAGCTGGAGCCTGGCGCTGATCCTGGCGCTTCCACTGAGCCCTGACAGCCCTGAAGAAGCGCTGATCCTGGCGCTTCTGCTGGGCCCTGACAGCCCTGAAGCTTTAGCCATCTCTCGCTCAGGCTTGTGCGGTGCTGCCACCGGTTCAGCTCATTCCCCTCCCCCGCTACTTTTCTAGGATGGTCGCGTACCACCTGCCAGGTGCCAATGTACCATAGGTGGTACCTGTACCACTGGTTGAAAAGCCGTGATGTAGAAAACAGTGGTTCATAATTATAATCCCTTTACTTGCAAATTTTGGGGAAAACTCTACTTTGAGGGAAAAAATGGAACTTTTCTCTAATTGACACTTTATTCAATCCAAGCATTGGCTGTCTGGTTTGTTTTATGCTAATCCTTTTGCTGCCTCTAAAATTCCATATTTGTTAAGAGACGGAGTTTTATTATCTGGTATTCCTAAACTAGTATCTTATCTGTATTAGATTATGTGCCATAAAGTTGTCATTGACATTAGTAACCACATAGATAAGATTTTCTCCATGGATCTTTATTAGAAAATCAACTTAATACTGTGTAACTGATATTAGCACTAACCTTTGAAATATTGAGCTTGAATTGTTTTAAAGTGTGAAAAGATCTTAATATGAGACTAATACAATAACAATATGTATTCCATAATTATTGAAAAAAATATTGAAGTATACTGTAATGTTTATGAAAAGTTAATCTTTACACAATAGCAAGCAAGAGTAGTTTTGTACAAGTTCGTTTAATTTCTTTCCCTGTCACCATTTACTCATTCAGAGCAAATTTTTCTCTGCTCAAGAGCAAGAAAGTATTTGTAGTTTTCTTCGTTTTTTTGCAGTTAGTAGAATGGCTGAAAGGCTGGTAGTGTAAATTCTCTGTCAGAATGGGACTCTTGATGTCAGATGAAGGTGCAAGTCGCTGATTATGTAAATTAAGGTCAAGAAGCTAATTGAGAAAGGCAAATCCTGCAGGCTTAATTCACCACTAATCTTCCAGGCAGGAATACATATCCAGGTACAGATACAATACCAGAAACAAAATAAGACTAATAATTGTAGGGTCCTACTCCCTTCTAGCACTGATGATGTTACATGGATAATGTTGGATAATAGTTGGATAATGAAATGTCTGCAAGAAAAGCACCAAGCTCAGAGAGCACCAAGGACCCCACAGTTCAATCCTGAGCTACAAATATTCTCTTCTATTGGTAAGGCTAACACTATAAAAAAACTATGGTGATAAAGTAGCAAAGAAAAATATCCTAATTTGCGTATACCATATATACTTGCAGATAAGGTTAAAAATTTAGGTACCCAAACTGGCCCCAAATCATCCAAATTTCATGTGTAAGGGAAGAGCAAAATGCATGGTCAGCCAGTACCTTAACCATTACGCCAAAATGGGTATCTGTTGTTCAGGGATTGAATTTGCTAGTTTTTGCTAGCAATCTACATAAACAAGCTTAAATTTTATTCATTCTTTTATTTTTAAATTATGGGGGAATTTCCTCTGCCTTGACTACAAAAACATATGATTTGAATAGTAATGAACTAAGGTGGCATTTATTGTTCCTGTTACATTATTAACATCATCATTATTCCATTTTGTTTGTTTGAGAGTTTAGTAACAAAACAACCACATCAACATCTCCTTTTGGATAACTCCTTCGAACTGTTGTTAACAATTCTATTGAGAGATGCAGGAAATGGGGAAATGTATATGAAAGAAGAGACCAAAATAGTTTTAGATGAAATTAGTTAGGAAGTTCTTTGGATCCCAGCCAATCTCTCTCTTATACAATATCCTTAAAATCTATAAATTTGATCTTGAAATAAACTGAAATACCACTGAGAAAATAAGAAACATTTTAAGCAATACAATCTTTTTCAGGGTTGATTTTTTAAGGTATTGATAATATATGGGACTTTTTTTTTTTTTTAATAAAATTTTATTATTTTCAACATAGAAAAAAAACATCACAGATATTTCACAATGCTATATGGAAGAAAAAACCCCCACCCCCCACCCCCCCACCCCGGACTTCCCAAACCGAATCCCAGGATAATATTCAAATATAAGCAAACAAATATTAAAATCTCTAACTCCACAAAATATATTAGTCTACATGAGTAGGTAAAATATATTAAAAAATAAGAAAAACAAGTTTACTGAAAACCTAAATTATATTCCACCACTCTGTGCTTCTTTTGAATATAAACAATCCATCTTCTCCATATTAATAAAAATTGTTCATTTGAGTGATTCTTCAAATAAGCAGAAATCTTTGCCATTTCAGCAACGTACGAAACTTTCAATCTCCAGTCTTCCATTGTAGGTAAGATTTTACTCTTCCAGTTTTGTGCTATCAACAAACGGGCAGCAGTTAAACAATACAACATCAAATTCGTTTCTTTTGCATCCAAATTTTGTGTGATACCTAGGAGAAACAACTGAGGCAAAAAAGTAATTCTTCTTTTAAAAATTTGCTGTAAGTTCCAC